GAGGAGGAAGAGGAAGGAATACTTCACCCTAGCAGCAAGAGGAGGAGGAGGAGGAGGTGCAAGAGGAGGAAGAGGAGAAGCAGGTTGGGGAGGAGAGGGAGGAAGAGGAGGAGCATGAGGAGGCGTCAACAGACTAGAGGAAGAAAAAGTGGAGGAGAAGGGGGAAAAGGATAACGATAATGAGCAGGAGGAGAATGAGCAGGAGGGGGAGGAGCAAGAGGAGGAGGAGGAGGAGGAGGAGGAGGAGGAGGAGGAGGAGGAGGAGGAAGTGTAGGATGAGGAGGGGAGCGTCCGCGAGAGAGCGAGAGAGAGAGAGAGAGCCTTGCCTTGGTCCAGCAAAGAGGAAGGTAGGAGGAGGAGGAGGAAGACGACAAGGAGATAAGGGGGAGGAGGATAAAAAAGGAACAGAAGAGGTAGACAAGGATGAGGAGGAGGAGGAGGAACAGGAGGAAGAGGAGGAGGAAGAATATGAGGAGGAGGATGAGGAAGAAGAGGAGGAGGAGGAGGAAGAGGAGGAGGAGGATACTGTACAGCTTGCACTAGGAGGAGGAGGGGTTTTGACACCAACGATTGGGCACTGTCTGGGCCTCGCACAGAGTGCAAAGTTGGAAAGTCATAATGGAAAGTTGGAATATCACAACTAAGCCTTAGGAACAGTTTCAGCTCCTCGACCCGAAGAGGCGGCATCCGCCCGCCCCCATCAAACACGGCGACAAGGTGTACATCAAGTCGTCACAAACGAAGCAGCTTCTCGGGTACTGTGGGGACAATTGTATCCACGCCATTGGCGTGAATCCGCAAAGAGATAGCACTGCGTGGGTCATTGACAAAGTCGATGGCGATTGGAGAACGAGGGTCATATGCGAGGGCGACAAGGTGCGCTTCAAGCTTACTTGCAATTCCCAGTATTTGTGCGTGAATGACAGCACGCTCTGGGCCGCGTGTCAATCAGACGACCCGTGCAACCAGTCCCAGCTTTTCACTATCCAGAAGCATGGCTTTTCACTATCCAGCCTCCCTCCAGTGGTCTGGAAGGGCAAATGCAGCACTTTCGACGGGGGTGAGTTCGACGAGGATTTTTGAACACCAAGTAAAGCGGTCTTCGGGGTTGCGTACCCTCCCGCGTGAGGACGGATTATGAGTCGGAAAAGAGAAGGACAGCGGCGCCTGACAAATCCAGAGGTGTGATTGTTCTCAGAGGTGCTCTCACTCGCGGACTATGCAGTGTGTTTTGTTGCGGCCGGTTGAGCGGGAGACCCTCGCCAATCAGCTGTCTCGCCCCTCCTCTGCCCCTTTGCCTTCCAAACAACCCTCTCAACAAACATCCCCCCGCCCTTCCTCCTCGACCCGTTGCATGTGAGAGTCACTATTGCGCCATTCTCAGAGGTGCTCACACTCGCAGGTGCATCCGAAGACAGACATAGAGGATTTTTCGGTGCGCAGTGGCCCAGTGCGGGCACGTAAGGCGCCTTTTGGGGCCTGTTGGCCCACCCGCCAGATGTGCGGCAGCTAGGCATGCTTTCCGCGGAGCTGGCTGCCAACTAGGCGGCCTCGGAGGACAGCCAACGGCTCAGAGGAAAAAGTAAATAATGCATTATCGTCCTCGTCGTCGTCATCGTCATCATCATGTTCATCGTCATCGTCATCAGCATCATCAGCATAATCAGCATCATCAGCAGCATCAGCATTTTCATCAGCATCATCATCATCATCTGCATCGTCTGCGTCATCAGTATCATCAGCATCAGCATGAGCATCATCAGCATCATCAGCATTGTCGTCATCGTCCTCGTCGTCGTCGTTATCACCATCATCGTCATCATCATCATCATCGTCATCATCATCATCATCGTCATCGCCATCGTCATCGTCATCGTCATCGTCATCCTCATCATGATCGTCATCGCCATCGTCATCGTCATCGTCATCGTCGTCGTCATCATCATCGTCATCGTCATCATCGTCGTCGTCATCGCCACCACCATCGCCATCACCATCGCCATCACCATCACCATCATCATCATCATAACCGTCGTCGTCGTCATCGTCATTGTTATCGCCAGCATCATCATCATCATCACACCCTCATTATCCGCATCATCATCATCTTCCTCATCATCCTCATCATCTTCATCATCCTCATCATCGTGATCATCCGCATCATCCTCATCATCCTCATCATCATCATCAACATAATCATAATCATAATCATAATCATAATCAGCAGCATCAGCATCAGCATCAGCATCAACATCATCACCATCAGCAGCATCAGCATCATCACCAGCATCAGCAGCAACAGCAGCATCAGCATCAGCACCAGTATCATCATCATCATCATTATCACCATCATCATCAGCATCATCGTCATCATCAGCATCATCAACAGTAGCAGCAGCACCATCAGCATCATCAACATCATCAGCATTATACACATCATCATCAATATCACAAGCATCATCAGCATCAGCGTCAGCATCAGCATCAGCATCAGGATCATCATCATCATCAGCATCATCATCATCAGCAGCAGCATCATCATCAGCATCATCAGCGTCATCATCAGCATCATCATCATCAAAATTATCCTCATCGTCATCCGCATCATCATCATAATCATTACCAGCGTCATCACCACCATCTTCATCATCATCATTAGCATCAGCGTCAGCATAATCAGCATTATCAGCATCATCAGCTTCGTCTGCATCATCAGCATCAGCGTCATCATCTCATCATGATCATCGTGGTCATGATCATGATCGTGATCATGATCATCATCATCATCAGCATTATCACCAGCATCATCATCAACATCATCCACATCATCATCATCATCATCCACACCATCATCCACATCAACATCATCCACATCATCATCATCCACATCATCATCCACGTCATCAGCGTCATCATAGTCAGCACCACCATCATCATTATCATTAGTATCGTCATCATTATTATCATTACCATTATCGTTATCGTTATTGTTATCATTATCAGCATCCTCATCCTCGTCCGCATCCTCATCCTCATCCTCATCCTCCTCATCCTCATCCTCATCCTCATATTCATCATCATCGTCGTCGTCGTCGTCGTCGTCGTCATCATCATCATCATCCTCATCCTCATCCTCATCCTCATCCTCATCCTCATCCTCATCCTCATCCTCATCGTCATCGTCATCGTCATCGTCATCGTCATCGCCATCGTCATCGTCATCGTCATCGTCATCGTCATCGTCACCGACATCGACATCGACATCGACATCGTCATCGTCATCGTCATCGTCATCGTTGTCGTCATCGTCATCGTCATCGTCATCGTAATCGGGGCTAGCTATTGACCATCCTCTGCTCGGTGCTCGCTGCTCGGTTGTCGCTGCTCGGTGTTCGGTGCTCGCTCTCTGGTGCTCGCTGCTCGCTGCTGTTTGCTGTGCTCGCTTCTCGGGGCTCGATGCTCTGTGCCCGGCGCCTGCTGCTCGGTGATTGATCCTCGCCGCTCGGGGCTCGCGGTTCGCTGCTAGCTGTCCTCTGCTCGGTGCTCGCTGCTCGGTTCTCAAGGTATTTCTCTTAGCTTATTCAAAGGGAACCCCTGTGTAACGGTATTTTTTGTAAGCTTGTTCAAAAAGGGAGCCCCTGTGTAATGGTATTTTCCCTCAGCTTTTTCGAAGGGAACCCCTCTGTAACGGTAGTTGTTCTAATCCCTCTGTAACGGTACATGTTCTTAGCTTTTAATTTATTAAGGGAACCACTCTGTAACGGTATGTTTCTTAGCTTTTCAAAAAGTAATCCCTCTGTAACGGTACATTGTCTCAGCTATTACAAAGGGACTCCCTTTGTAACGGTACCTGTTCCTAGCTTTTTCAAAAGGATCTCTTTTGCAACAGGACTTTTGCTTAGCCTTTACAAAAGGAGCCCCTCTGTAACGGTACTTTCTCTTAGCTTTTACAAAGGGAACTCCTTTGTAACGGTATTTTCTTAACTTTACAAGCGGAACCCCTCTGTAACGGTACTTCTTCTTAGCTTTTACGAAGAGATTCCCTCTGCATCGGTACTTTTTCTTCGTTTTTACAAGGGAACCCCTCTGTAACGGTATTTTTCCTTGGCGGGCCGATTCGGAGAAAAACTCAGGCGGCCGAGGTGGACCGCGAGTCCCCGGGAAACACAGCCAGGGTGGGGTGAGAACCCGAACACGCGCCAGCGCAAGGCGGCAGGGCCCCGTTCTGGGCCTCTCAAGCCCCGTGTGCCCATGGATGGGGGCCAAACGGAGGCTCCAAAATACACACCGCTTCAAGGATCGCGACCCGAAGCTTGAAAAGCACCGACTGATTCACTGACGGCGCCCTCGGAGGCCCAAGAATACAAACTGCTTTTACGGACGGCGGAATCGGCCTGTCAGCTGGACAAGAAAGAATGGGTTCGACTTCAAGCGGTGTCAAGGGGAATCCGCTACAGCCATCGCAAACCAATCCTGTAACTATTACAGCTACAGCAACCGCGAAAATCCCACCAGCCCTCTGGGCGTAGGTGGCTTGGAGGTTCTCTCTGGCTGCTTCTCCCTGTCCCCAGAGCTCTGGGGAGAGGTTTACCTCTCCCCTTACCCCCTATTCTGAAGTGCACGGCTTCTTCTTGCTAAGAAGCTCCCAAGAGGCCTCCAAGACGGCCAAAGAGGCCTCCAAGTTGCGCCCAAGACGGCCCAAGAAGCTCCCAAGACGCCTCCAAGAAGGCCCAAGAGGCCACCAAGTTGCGTCCAAGACGACCCCAGAGCTCCCAAGACGCCTCCGAGACGGCTCCAGAGGCCACCAAGTTGCGCCCAAGACGGCCCAAGAAGCCGCCAAGAGGCTCCAGGACCTGGCAAGATGGTCCCCAGGGCTGCCCAGGACGCCCAAAGATGCCACAGATAAGCCACTAAGACTGCCCGAGAGGCTCCAGAACGGCGCCACATGGCGCCAGGATCCGCCAAGACCCTAAGACCCTAAGACCATACGACCGTGAGACCATACGACCCTACGACCCTACGACCCTAAGACCCTAAGACCTTCAGACCCTAAGACACCAAGACCCTAAGACCCTCAGGCCCTCAAGCCCTAAGACCCTTAGGCCCTAAAGCCAGAGGTGCTAGGAATGATGCCTCGAGCTCAATGGATCCACCGAACAGACCTCCAGGATATCATAACGCTGCGCTGCTGGCTTCTGGAGGGCTGGTGGGACGCGCGAAGCGATTAGAATTACAATTACGATTATTAATACACCTACCACGGATAAGCACACGTATGCATAGATGGATACACGTGCACGATACTTACTGCCGCGCGCGCTTCCTGCGCTTCAATTTTCGCAATCCTGGGGTGCCGGGCTTCCCGCGGAAAGGGTCAACATAAGAACATGCCTGAAGTATTTCTTCGAGGAAGCCCGTGCCGATACACTCGCAGAAGCATACTCCAGGAGGCAATAGGTTAAAGCATGAATGAGGCGCAACTGCGCAGTAGCTGGAGTGAAAGGGTCTTGTGTGGAGAGAGACTTGTGGAGAGTAGAACGAGAAAGGCGGCGTGTCAAGAGGCCAGACTGCAAAATCGTTGTGGTCAAATTGAGATGCTGGCTGATTGGATGCAATGATGGAAGACGTGGCGACGTAATGATATTGTTTTTTGGCACACTGCGCTGTGGACAGTCCAGAGAGGAGAAGTGCCGCTGCTTAGAGCGTCGCACATCACGCCGAATGCACAGTGCGCCGAGGCTCCTCGCGGAGTGGGGAACGACACGTGCACCAGACGCCTGAAGGAATAGCAAGAAGAGAGAAACGAGAGATGCCAGTGTTACTGCCACAGCTACTGTTACGAACCGAATTGCATAGTTGGAAAGTTACAATCGAGCGAGCCTATCGCTGCTCGAACCACATGACCCAAGACAACACTAGAAATTTTTCAGAGACTCAAAATATGTCTTGGGTGCCGTGCCATGTGTTTCGGAGCATATGGAGGGGCAATGCTGGGAGGCACTGCTGGGAGGCACTGCTGAGATGCACTGCTGGGAAGCACTGCCGCGAGGCACTGCTGGAATGCACTCCGGGTGCAGTGCTGGGAAGCATTTCTGGGATGTCGTGTAGGGAGGTTTGCCGGGATGCACTGCTGGGAGGCACTGCTGGAGACAGTGTTGGGAGACGGTTTTCAGAAACATGGCAGCCTGCGAGCGCCGTGGGGCGGCACGACCATGCGTTGCGGTTGGGGGGGGGGAGGGGGGTCGAGGGGGGGTAACACGAGTTATCCCCCAGAACAGTAAAAGAACGGTCACCGTAGCAAACCGCCAAACAAACACCAGTCTTGCTGGGCATGGCTGGCCGCCGAAAGTGGGATAAGGAGAGGGAGGAATCTCTCTGAAGCGAAGCGGCCTGAGCGGAGGAAGCCACCCTGAGGGTGCCGCTGCAGGCCACCGGAGGACTTGCGCCCTCTTCGCGAGCTGTACATCTGGGGTCGGGACAGCATAAGCCCGCACGACCCCACGCTCGCCTTTACAGGAAGCCAGCCTTGCTGAGCATGGCTGGCCACCGAGAGTGGGAGGTAGAGGCCAAAATCATTGATGTTCCTTAAGTTTTTGAAGGATTTTGGCATTTCCTCTTTTTCGGCCTTCCGACGGCCCAAGA